CAGGATGGTCTCGATCTCCTGACCTCGTGATCCGCCCGTCTCGGCCTCCCAAAGTGCTGGGATTACAGGCTTGAGCCACCGCGCCCGGCCAACAGTGCCAATATTAAAGAGATTCCTCCAATGCTGAACTGAGAGCTAGCTGGCTTCCTCCCTTGGTCCTGGGCCCCAGCTGGGCCCACATCTAAAACAGTCCTATCTCTGTGGACGCCCTTAAGGTATCTGATGACCATATGGGTCTCTGCTCCCCACTTTCACTGCACATCAGGCCCTCTCCAAGCCAAGCCAAGCACTTGACTCTTAGCCATTCCTCAGACCCTGGCTGGATGGGCGAAGGTCCTTCTGCCAGGAGACCCAGCTCCCCTTGAGGTCTGACTCACGGAGTGCAGGCCCAGGCCTCATCCAATTGCAGATGGTGCTCCCACCCAGAGACTTTGGCAGGGACCTTCTCCTCCCTGGGCCAGTTTCCTCAGCAGCACAAGAAGTTTGCTCTAGAGGCTCCCTCGGGTGCTTCCAGATTTACTTATTTTTATTTTTATTTTTCCTTTTTGAGATGGAGCCTTCCTCTGTCACCCAGGCTGGAATGCAATGACGTGACCTCAGCTCACTGCAACCTATGCCTCCTGGGTTCAAGCAATTCTCCTGCCTCACCCTCCCCAGTAGCTGGGATTACAGGTGTCTGCCACCACACCTATCTAATTTTTTGTATTTTAGTAGAGATGGGGTTTCACCATCTTGGCCAGGCTGGTCTTGAACTCTTGACCTCATGATCCACCTGCCTCGGCCTACTAAAGTGCTGGAATTACAGGCGTGAGCCACCGCGCCCGGTCAGTGCTTCAGCTTTAAATATTTTGAGGCAGTTGAGGTTCCTGATGGGAGGTCCCCCACTCCTCCTCTCCCAAGTTGTTGAATCACTGAATTTATCATGTTTAACAGATGTCTGACTGTCCTCCTGGTGATGCTGTTAAGCTAGGTATGAAGATAGCTACATCATGGAAACACAACTGGGACTGACCCTTGGCCTTTTTGGAAATTTGATCCTGAAATTGGTTCCAAAAGTCAATGCCTTTTTCCCTCCAAAATGTTCATTTTTCCTTCTATTTATTTATGCATTTACCAAGACCAAGTGTTCCTATGTTACAGCACCTGGCTCCCGGCCTTAGGGTTCCTGCTTTTCCGTAGGGTCTTGGGGTGGTGTATCCCACTTTCCGGCACCCCTAGAGCATCCGCCCCTTCCGAGCATGTCTTCCCAGTCACGGAGACCCTCATGTTGGCACCTCCGAAAGTTGCCGGAGGAATTAGGGAATAGGGTGGTGGTGGACAAGATTGGGGCCAGAGAGGGGGCTGGTGGTCGGCCCTGAGGACCCCCCTCCCACCCACCGCAATGCCTGCATGGCCCCGGGACTTCCCTGTCATACCTGAGAGGAGGGCCTGGCCCGTGAACTGCCCGTACACGGAGGCAGCATGGGGAAAGGCATTGAAGGGCGGGACCGAGGCACCGGCTGGGACCCCGGAGCCGACTTGCTGCAGATCCAAAAATGCGGAGCTAGATAAAGAGGAAGGGGTGGAGCTAGAACTGGACACCTCGGGGGTTTCCTGCTTTATGGCGAAGGGTGAATGAGGATCTGCCGGAGGGAGGGAGACAACAAGGAGAGAGGGGTGTGAGATGATGGGGCGGGAACATGCACAAACCAAGCCATGAGATGTGGAGGGTGCAGGGCGCGGGGCAGGCAGGCCCAGCTGCTCTCAGAGTCTGGGCCGGGGAGCCAGGGCCCACAAGGTGTGGCAAGGAAGGGAGAGAGAAGCTCGACCTCCCTCTGTGCTTCTGCAGTGAAAATGGAGAGACTGGGAAGGAGTGTGTGCGCCCGCCTCTCCCACAGGAGGGAGAGTGGAGGCCTAGGAGCGGCCTAGGACTGGAGGCACGACCCATTTAATCCACCTTGAGGCCCAGCCAGCACAGCCCACCTCTCCTCTCCAGGCCGGGGCCCCACACACGTTCCGCCTGACAGCCAGCCAAGCTCTGCAGTCCCCCGCCCTCCACCTGCCAGGGAGGCTCCAGGCATCATACCTGCCACCACAGGGTAGGTCTGGTGAGTCGACAGGTTGCGCCCCAAGGGCGTGTTGGAAGGGGTCAGGGTGGCCTTCCCGTCGTCCAGGCTGCTGTTGAGCAAGGGCAGCGGGTAGAGGCCCTGGGGAGCAAAGAGAAGTCAGCGCACAGAGATGATCCGACAAGCCGACCTTCCTGCAGACCCTGAGCCTGTCTTAGAACTTAGCAGCCCTATTCTTCCCAGGAGATTTCCTCATCGTCCCCTTCTTCCTTTACATTCTCAACTCCACTCAGCACTTTTCGTTCATGCTCATTGTCCTCCTGCATCCCTGGAATTCAAGGCCAGCTGGTGGCATGGGTGCTCCGGTGTGGGATAGAGGGTCTCAGCCGGAGGACCACACCCTGGCTAGATGGCTGGTCGGCTTCCTGGTTTCACCACACTGTTGTGACCCACAGAATACAGGATGGTGCCAAGGACTGGAGCAGTCTCCAACCGGACTGTTCAGGGTCCTTCCATCTGTGATTCTTCCCCAGATAGGGAACCCAGGCACAGAGGTTTACGAAACTTGTCCCACTTCCATATGGACCAAAGATAGGATTCAGACTTGAGGGATCAGAATGCCTCTGCTGTCAACCACTGTCCCAAACTGGGTGACATAAGGACCACTTCTTACATTTGCAAAGAGCTTACATCAGAGCTTTGCCTCTGTTGTCCTAGTAGAGTCCCCCAGCAGCCCAGTGACATGGGTGAGTAATATTATGTCTGTTATTGATTTTATACGTGGAGCCTGGAACTCAGAGAGGTAAATGGCCTAGTTTTGTGTAATGAAACTGAGACTAAACCCAAGATTTCGGCTGTGGACCCAGGTGCTTTACCCATCACGTGGATTTCTTCTTTTCTCTCTCCACATCCAAACAAATAGAAGTGTGCAAGTTCAGCTTGAAAATGGTATTTAGAGTTTTTTTTGTTGGAAACACTCTTTATCAAGTACCTGGGGGTCTTCATCAATAAGACCTCATTTTAAATGCCTCGTGGCCTCCCCTTGCCAGGAGCACAGCTATGACCTTAGGTACTCCTTCTGAAAAGAACTTGTTTAACTAAAGGCAAGTGTGCCTCATCCTCACCATGGCCTCCTCCCACCGGGGAAGCAGATAGCATGGAAGAAAGAATGCACCCATTCCCCACATACCTTCACACACGTCACATACCTGCTACGTGAGATATGCAAAGCTGAATTCAGGGAATGCTCAGTGGTTACATAACAGTGCCACTAAAGGCAATTGTTTTCAGTGCTTTCCATCAAGCTGGGTTCTGCAAAGATCCACAGCACTTTCCGGTTGCATGCTGGGCACTTTTGGAAGCTGCAGTCAATTCTGGAGGCCACCAGGGCACCATTAGCACATAGCAGCAATTACTGACTAAATGGTGCTCTGGTTCCATGCCTTCCAAGGGGGCTCACTTAGAGGCAGGGTGGAATTGCTTAGGGCCTTTTTTTTTTTTTT